GTGTTAAAAAAACGGAAACGCCCGAAGAGAGCTCTCCGGTGGCGCAGCGATTATCTCGAGACGCGTGACGGCGCGCGCCCTCTCTTCTCCCTTCGTTGCTTTTTCTGCGGACCTATCGTGGCTTCCGCCGATGAAAGCGGGAGTTTCTGACCCCCCCCCTCCCTTTTTCCCGGCCCCCCTCGGGGACAAAGGTTTTTTTCTCCCCCCAGGGGAAAAAGACCCCCCCAAGTTCTCTATTAAGGTTTCATTTCACGGCGTGTTTTCCCAGCCCCCCCCCCCCCCCCCCAACATGTGTGCCTGAAAGGACAAGGTTACCCGTCTGCTGGGACATTTCAGTAACCCACTTTCAGCACTTTGTAAGGACCCCCGGGCAAGTGTTGAGTTCCTGCGTGCTGTCGGCATCGCTGACCGTTTATGAAGCCACAGTGCCAGAAGAGAGAGAGAGAGAGAGAGAGAAAGGACAAGGTTAAATTGTATAGTTTTTGTATTGGTTTTACACCACTTGCAACACAACTACGTCATATAAGTGGAGAAAACTACAACTACGTCACATAGGTGGAGAAAACTACAACTACGTCACATAGGTGGAGAAAACTACAACTACGTCATATAGGTGGAGAAAACTACAACTACGTCATATAAGTGGAGAAAACTACAACTACGTCATATAAGTGGAGAAAACTACAACTACGTCACATAGGTGGAGAAAACTACAACTACGTCACATAGGTGGAGAAAACTACAACTACGTCATATAGGTGGAGAAAACTACAACTACGTCACATAAGTGGCGAAGATTAGAGGTTTTTACTAGAGAGTAACACAGAAAGAAAAGAAAGAAGAGAGAGAGAGCGGGACAATAAATGTTTGATAGGCCAAGAAGGAGCAAACCACACCAGAGCACCCACCAACCACCCACGAAAGGAGAAAACTTGCAATTTAGTTGCACTTCTCAAAAAAGTGCACTCGGCCATTGTGTTTCCAAAAACATAACGGCCGAAATCCAATTTTTTAAAACTTGATAAATTTACTACAGAAATGCAACAACTTTTTGAAAGTTTGAAAGGCTCTAGTCATTTCTCTTCCACAGCAGCAACACAGTTCAGTCTGAGAAATAACGACAAAAAAGGATCCTGGTTCTCTCCGGTTTCTAAGAAAGTTTAGCAAAACTCAACGCAAGCGACCTAAAACTTTACCCCTGGTTTCTTCTCTCCTTCCACATCCTCCTCATCCTCGTCAATGCCGTTCTCTTTGGCCGATTCGTCGCTCTCATCGCTGTCATCATCATCGTCGTCGTCCAACTTTTTCTTGTGCGTCTTCTTGACGGCAAACATGTCCTCGTCACTGTCAGAGGCGTCACTCTGTGGCAGAGAGAGAGAAGGAGAGAGAGAGACGGAGAGATAAACACATGTACAGGTCACTCTGTGGCAGAGAGAGAGAAGGAGAGAGAGAGACGGAGAGAGAGAGACGGAGATATAAACACATGTACAGGTCACTCTGTGGCAGAGAGAGAGAAGGAGAGAGAGAGACGGAGAGATAAACACATGTACAGGTCACTCTGGGACAAAGAGAGACAGAGAGATAAACACATGTACAGGTCACTCTGCGGCAGAGAGAGAGAAGAGAGATAAACACATGTACAGGTCACTCTGTGGCAGAGAGAGAGAGACGGAGAGAGAGAGAAGGAGAGATAAACACATGTACAGGTCACTCTGAGACAGAGAGAGAGAGAAGGAGAGAGAGAGACGGAGAGATAAACACATGTACAGGTCACTCTGTGGCAGAGAGAGAGAGACGGAGAGAGAGAGAAGGAGAGATAAACACATGTACAGGTCACTCTGAGGCAGAGAGAGAGAAGGAGAGAGAGAGAGACAGAGAGATAAACACATGTACAGGTCACTCTGGGACAAAGAGAGACAGAGAGATAAACACATGTACAGGTCACTCTGCGGCAGAGAGAGAGACAGAGAGATAAACACATGTACAGGTCACTCTGTGGCAGAGAGAGAGAGACGGAGAGAGAGAGAAGGAGAGATAAACACATGTACAGGTCACTCTGAGGCAGAGAGAGAGAAGGAGAGAGAGAGAGACAGAGAGATAAACACATGTACAGGTCACTCTGGGACAAAGAGAGACAGAGAGATAAACACATGTACAGGTCACTCTGCGGCAGAGAGAGAGACAGAGAGATAAACACATGTACAGGTCACTCTGTGGCAGAGAGAGAGACGGAGAGATAAACACATGTACAGGTCACTCTGTGGCAGAGAGAGAGAGACGGAGAGAGAGAGAAGGAGAGATAAACACATGTACAGGTCACTCTGAGACAGAGAGAGAGAGAAGGAGAGAGAGAGACGGAGAGATAAACACATGTACAGGTCACTCTGTGGCAGAGAGAGAGAGA